CCGCCTGCTGGACACAACTGAGTCCAAGTGGCAATTACAAGAAGCCCATGGCGCTGGGCCTATGACTCGCCTATTTAACAGAAACCGCATCACACACTGCCAGTAAGCACACAGAGCCCCATGACAGTCCCACAGCAACTGACACTCCCTTACTCTGCGGGTGCCCTGGTACAGGGAGGCCCATGAGGCCCCACGCTCCCCACCACACAGAGAAACCACAGCAAAACCTGGGAAATGAGGCCAAGTTCCTGCTTAAAGCCCCTGCCTTGTCACCAGGGTAGGGTCTACAGAGCCACCTTCAGGGTGGCAGGGTTCCAGGCCCTGGGTCCCCCCTGGCTGAGTCTGAAAGAGGGGCCACCAGAGGTGGTGGGGAAGGGAGGGAGGAGCTCTGTACCTTCTCAATTCAGGGAGCCCTGGGCCTCAGAGATGAGCATGCAGAGCCTGCCACCTGCCTGACTCCTTACTGCCGAGCACCACTGCTCCAACTTCCTTGGCTGCACTAGAAGGGGGAGCTGGCCCTGGCAGGCCTGTACGGCACCAGGTCACTGGTATTCTAGTGGCTCACCCCAAAGAGAAATGTGCTACTCCAAGTGTGGCCTCGGTCACAGCTGTGCACCTGGAGTTCATCAGCTAAAAACTAGTCAGCAGCTTGGCTGGAAGGCAACACCCAAACCCCAAATGCCAGAAAGAGATCCGTGCCAGGCACAGGGCACTGACATGGCACATACAGACAGCAGCATTCCCCGGGTGAAGCAGAGCAGGGAAATCAGCCGTGATAGTGGCTGCCTTCTCAGGCAGGCAGGCCTCAGGCTGTGGGAAACCAGGCATCTCACAGTCTCCACCAGGACCCTCTGCTGCATTCCAGCCTCAGGGTTTGTTGATACCCTGGTTATGCTCTTAGCAGTGTCTGTCATCTGTGTCATCAGCCCTCTTCCTCAGACCTGTTGGGCAACCCGAAAAGAAGGATCAGGTTGTACCTTTCCATGCTTACTCAGGGCCTCCAGATACAAGTCCTGGCCAATGATTCCCCTGGCTCCACCCTGGGACTGTCCCCATCTGTCACTGTACTTTCAAAGTGCCACCCCCCTCAGCCAGGTGGTCAAGGTGCAGAGGGCCAGCCACAGAGGGGCAGCTCTACTCAAGGGCCTGTAGAGGGCAGGCTGGCACTCTGGAACCTGGAGGGTCCCTGGGCATGGTCCTGGACCCCTGGACACCTGAGGCTGTGTTCACCTGACAGCAACAGGCAGGAATCCCCATGTGTAGCAATGCCTGATGCTGGTGGGTTTCCAAAGAACCCCTCCCCCAGGAAGATTGCACACATGCAGACTGCACAGGGCTTGCAGGGTCTGCTGGGAAAACACACAGTCAGAAAGTCTGGCAGGCTTCTCCTAGCTAGAGCCCACTCATCTCAAATCTGAACCCAGAACATCACAAAAAGAATCCAGATAAACATCACTCAGCAAAACAGTATTACAAGGAGTGTTCCCCCTGCAAGAGAGGAGACAGCAAAAGTTGATAGTCCTGACCCTGGAAGTGGCTGGGGGCTGCAGATGAGAACCATCTCTGTGGGGGGTACAGCCGAGAGTAGTAATCAGCCATCAAACCAACCATGCCCATCTACCTGGGCACCATCATCCACCCACAGATAACTCCTGCATTCGGGCTCATCATCAATGTGCTCTTTGATGTGGTCAAGAAACCAGGCCAAGACTAGGTCTGGGGCCACTGTCCCCTCCCCCCTTGCCATGATCCCTCCCTGCTTGGTGGCCAGGGATGTCCATCTAGGTTGATTAACAGGATGTTATAACCCAGCCAGAAACACAAGTTGATGCTTCTAATTCAAAGAAGACACCAACTCCTCCAGAGTATTCCCCCTCCTCAGATACTAACTCTCCTTGGAAAGTCTTCACCCTCTAGGAAAGCGAGACACTAAGAGAGGACAGGCCGAACCTCCTGTGTGCTGCTTTCAGTGCAGCACCCTAAGCCTGAGTGCTCTCCATCAAGAAAAACCACAACGGTGTCTAGAAGGCTGACTTGCAGGAAGGAATGGAAATGCAATGCTTTGGAAATGTCAGGTTAACGTTAAACTATTATATTATTCATCAGGTATTTTTTACCCAACTTACATATATATTAATGATTCAGATATTGAAATTCATAAGCATCATAGAAAAATACTTTAAGCATTTCCAATCACTTTTTAGAACTACAGGAACAATGAATAAGATTTTTATTTCAGAATATTTTCCACCACACTATAATGAACAAAAAGCTCAGTGTTCCGTTTTAAACCAAAGCAGAGATTAAATTAAAAATGAAGCTTGAACTGTACATCTAAATACAAAAGTGGAAAAAAGAATCTGAACTGTGGGAACAATCTTCCCCAGACGTACCCTCCTACAGCTAGCATTTAACACTTCAACTCCCCCAGGCCCTGCATCTTCCCAGGACTGACTCGACTCTCCTGTGCCAAAATGTGCCTGATTAGACAGAAGAGAAGCATAATTCAGTTCAAAATCCAAGGGAAAAAACCTGAGCTTTGGTTTGAAAAATGAAAAGCTATTGGGGTAAGATAATATACAATATACTCCAAACCTTCAAATTATCAGGATATTTTAATCCAAAGACTGACCTCAAATAAGAGACTGCCCCAATTAAGGAGGACCACAGAGCACAGCTTCCAGAGATCTGAGACAGAGGTGTGGCTGGAATCCATGGTGGGGACAAATGTCAGACAGTATGGGCACAGAGGACAGTGAGCTCTGAATGAAACCCTGCCCATTCCCTTCCTCCCCCAGCACAAGGCTTTGGGCTGAATTATCGGGATAAGTTAATGCACCCTGGTCAACTCCTGGAGCAGGTCTTCAAGGGCAGCTGGTTGCTGAAGAGGAAACATAAGGGATCCTATTCTCAATTCTAAGGCACACTTTCAAGGGCAGTAACATCTTCAAAGTCTTTTCTATAAACTGTAGGTCAAGGCCACTCTGAAATTATCCAGCTATTGATGAAACAGCCTGCAAGTACTTTTCCTTCCCTTCCAAGGTGCCAGCGTGACCTGGAAACACCGCCTCTCCCACACATACCACGGAAAGGGCATCCGAAGGCACCAGCAACCCCCCGGTGTTTCCAGAGACACCAGACCATTAGGTGCCTGCAAACACTTTCCTGTCTGCCCCCAGCCACTTGTCACCAAAAAAAATAACACTGCTGCCCATTCTCAGATGACTTTTTCACAATTGGACTTGATTTTTCCTTAACTAGAGACAAAAAGTCACTCAAACGAAAAGCCACTCCTTGCACAGGTGTCGGATGCAGGGACCGCACCCGAGGAGGGTCAGTCCACTCACAAAGCCACCGCAGGCAGGACAGAATGCTCTGCAGCGAGCAGAGGGCTGGGCGCCCAGGGCGTGGCCAAGGACAGGCGAGGCCCCAAACCACACCCAGCCCAGGGAAGCACCAGGGTCACCACGAACCCCCAACACAGCTGCTGCACCATGCAGGGCGGGAGCACGAGCAGCGCCACTCTGACTCTGCTCTGGGCAAGGCCAAGGCCAAGTGCGGCCCCGTGCACTGCAGGTCCTGAACCCAACACTCCCGAACCCCAGATAAAGCTCCCCTTCAGCAAAGGTCGTGGAACATGAGCCTTCAGGTCCCTGAACTAGCCCCAAACCTCAGGTGCCAGTTTTCCAAACAGACCCGCTTGCCAGCTGGCCGGAATGGGAGCACCAGGGGACGCGTATTTAAGGAACCCAACCCTGAGATCACTCATGGAAGGGGAGAGAGGCTGGGATCCTGCGCCAAGTAAAGTAGCCTCTCGAGAGAAGGGGTCTTCTGTCTGTTCTTGAGTTGGTCAGGCAACGCGGCGGCCTCAATGTCCGATCCGCCCAGAGTGCGACTGGCCCCGCTCCCACCCTTGGTCCTCACGGTGACCCCACCCAAGACGTGCCTCCCCAGGACCCCAGAGCCAGGGCCCTCCCGCTGCGAGGGCCCAACGTGCTGCCTCCAAACGCCCAGGGTGCGCCCTGAACCCTCGCAGGATCCCAGCATCCCCGCGGCATGACCCTGAGCCGCAAGAACCCGGCCCGGCTCCCGGCTCCCGCCGCAGCGGACTCGAGTCCCAGGCTGTCGGCTGGGACGCAGCGCCCGCAGTGCGACTGGCGCTGCCGCCGAGGCGTAGGGCCCACCGCCCAGACCCCGACCCCGCGGTTCGAGAGGGGCGTTAGCGCCGCGTGGGGAGCAGCACCTCCTACCCGGGGGAGGCTACGGGCCCCAGATGCTCTCACCGCCAGGTGACAGAAGGACCCGTCCCCGAATTCGAGAAGACATGGGTGGGGAAGAGACCAGAATGGAGACGTGAACAGGGTCGAAGTCGGATCGGTACTGGTTGGGAAGGGAGGGCCAGGACAGGGGCATGAGGACCCTCTCTGGATACAAGGAAGAAAGAGTCTGTCCGGGACCGGAGGATTGGGAACCGGGGAATCCCTACAGAACCTGAGGGAAGAGGAGAAAGGGGCTGTTCCGTAGAGCGGAGGTAGGTTGGGAGGTCCATTATCCGGGGCCCAGATGGGGGAAGGGGCGGCGGAGAACAGGGGAGGCATCCTTGGTGCAAGAAGGGGGCACCCAGGAAAAGTAGTAGGGGGCTCAGGACCGTGGGGTGCGAGCCCGGGCCAGTCCAGGATCGGGATGAGAAGGGAAAGGGACAGGTTTGGGCCGTAGTTAGAGGGGGAGGGAAAGTGCACCCAGGTCTGAGAGTAAGAGCAAGAGGGTCCCTCTAGTACCAGGGCTTAGGAACGGGCGGAAGGGTCCGAGCCAGGGGTCGGTAAGGAGATGGGGGTCTGCTCAAGTCGCGGAGTGGAGGGAAGGGGTGTCAGGCGGTAGGATGGAGAAAGCCTTCATGGAAAGGGAAAGGGGGCCTGTCTCGCCAGGGAGGGACAGACAGCAGGTCAGTCCTGGGGGAAGAAGAGCGCAACGCAGAGGGCGTCCGGCCCCGGTTCGCTCACCTTGGGTTTGTACAGCCACTTTCGGAACCTGTTCATCATCGCCGCGCGGGCCCCGGCCGGCCTCCAGGCGGCCCTCGCTCTCCGCAGCGCTGCGCCCTGGCCTGGCCGCGGCGCGGGGTGGACGCGGAGGCAGGGCCAGGGCCGGGCTGGGGCCGGGTCGGGCCGGGCCGGGGCCCCAGCGCCGGCTGGGTGCGGCTGGTAGCCAGCGGAGCCCCAAACGCCGGGCAGTCGGCTGACAGGCGCGCGCGGCAGGTGCGCGGCTAAGAGGATGCTCCGCGCTTGGCACGCTGGGCGGACCGAGACCCGCGGGCGGGCGCACAGACAGGCGCGGGCACGGGGCGCGCGGCTCCTCGCCGCTCACTGGCACCCCGCGCCTCCGCCGGCCCGGCTGCCCCACGCCGCACATGCGCTGAGGGCGCCGCGAGCCCCAGGCCCGCGGCGGGTCGCGGGCGGGGCCGGCCCGAGGAGGCTGCCAATCCCCGCTCGGCGCCGCGCCGCGCCCCACCCCGCCCCGCCTGCCGCGGCGCGCCCCCGAAGGTTCCGCCACGCTCGCGAACTCCGCGTCCTGGCGCGCACCGCGGGGCGGGGCATACGCAGGGCTCCGCGGGTTACGGCCTCCAGCGCGGAGGTTGCCAGGCGACGGCGCCCAAACGAGAAGGTCCCGCCGACCCAAGACGAGGGGGCGCGGCTGCGCTGCGGGGACCCTCGCCCCTGCCAGCGCTGGGTCCGCGGCTGCAGGCGGAGGCGCCGAGGAGGTCTGGCGGCAGGCAGGTACCGGGCGGCGGCGGGTGCGGAGCGGTGCGGGTGCGGGCGAGCGCCGCCGGGAGGAAGCGGGGCGCGTGGCCGGGTCCTCGGCTCACCCGCGACCTTCCCCTCCTGCCGGTTCTCCTCTTCCTTGCTTCCTTCCTCTGAGTTTCGCTGACATCTCCCTCCCTCTTTGGTGTTCTTCCCAACTCCTTGATCGCAGTTAACGGTGTTTTCTGGTGTTGTGTGTTGTTGTTGTTGTTCTGTTTGGTTTTAATCTCCACAATAAACAGTGCTTTTTATAAAGACATTTTCTGGGATTCACTACTTCCTCCAATAGTGCCCTAATTTGGATCTATTAAAAACGCTCACACACACACACACACACAAACACACACAGACCCACCAAAGTTTGAGTACCTGTTATTTGTCAAGTAGACAGCTAAAACACAAATAAGTGGTCTCTCTTAAAATTCTCCTGTACAGCTGAAGAAACAGGCGCAAAGAGGCCCCATGTCCTGGCAGCAGGAGCGGATTCATACTGCGGGAGGTCTGTCCTTTCCATCCAGAGCCACTTCCCTAAGGCACAGGAGAGGGAGGTAGGCCTCCCCTGAAACAATTCAGAAGCGTTCCCTGCTCCAGCCTTCTTATCCTCTGTCCAGGGTGCTGGTGCCTAGCTGGTTCCCTCCAGGATGGCTGCTCAGATTCTTGCTAGCACCTTCTGAGCCCAAGTACTAGATGAAAAAGAGAAACGAGTTTCTAGAAAGGAAGTCTTCTACTTCTGCGGTGGAAGAACTTAGCCTCATGACCATGCAGAGCTGCCAGGGAGGCTGGGAAATGTCAGCTTTCAGTTGAGCAGCAATAGGCCCAGCTTAAAAAAAAAAAAATCAGACTTTTGTTACTTAGGAGAAAGGGGAGATTGGAGAGGAGACTCAACTAGCAAGACCAGCCACTGGGGCTGTGCTTGAAGCTTAAGCCGTAGGGGTGACTTGGCAGCAGTCCTTAGAGAACCAGCTTTCATCATGGTAAAAGAGCATATTTCAATTAATATACATGTGGGATCTCATGTAAATGAGGTCCCTATTGGTTGAGAGTTTGTGTCTGATGGAATCTAAACCTCCATAGACTCCCATTTCTGTCTATAAATGTGCTAAAAAAAAAAAAACAGCTCCAGTCCAGCCCACCTTTCAAGTTATCTTAAATATGAGGTAGTCAAGTCTTGATTAGTGGAGTTAAAAATCAATAAACTTGGGAATTAAATCCCACCTAGATGGGTTTTTAACCATTAAAATAAAACTGAGGGGGGGCTGGGGATGTGGCTCAAGCCGCCGATAACTAAAAAATAAATATTAAAATTTAAAAAAAAAAGGGGCTGGGGATGTGGCTCAAGCGGTAGTGCGCTTGCCTGGCATGCGTGCGGCCCGAGTTCGATCCTCAGCACTACATACAAACAAACATGTTGTGTCCGCCAAAAACTAGAAAATAAATATTAGGGAATTCTCTCTCTCTCTCTTTAGAAAAAAACTACTCACCACTTGCTAAGCGATGCCTACAGTGCTAAAATAAAAGCATCTTAAAAAAAATAAAGAATTGAAAAAAAAATAAATTAAATTAAAAAAATAAAATAAAATAAAACTGAGGGGCTCGGGATGTGGCTCAGTGGCAGAGCACTTGCCTAGCATGTGTGAGGCCCTGGGTTCCATTTCCATCGCTGCAATTAATAACATAAAAGCTAAATAAAAATAAAATTAAGCTAAGAATGAGTGAACAAATAACATTGAGGTGCTAAAAGCATGCCAGAGAATGTCCATTTTCTACCCAAAGACATGATTGTGTGGGCTCAAGTCACAGGGTGATGTCAGTGGGGATCCAGAACGCAAGCCTCCTTTTCCTCATGCCCACTCACAGTTCACCTGCTCTGTGCCAGGTGTGGGGTACAGGGCCCTGCCCTGGAACACAGCCTGACAGTGAGTGGAGAAGTGCGACGAGACTGGAGGGCCTGAGTTGGGCTGGGCTCCAGAGGAGCCCCTCTTCCCCCTTCTTGCCTTCTGCTTGGTGCATCCATTCACTCCTTCCAGGTCTTTCCCTCCAGGTCCACTCTGGATTGGTGAGGGCTTGCATGAACAGGGGCACCTGAGACTATCGGGGTTTTATTCTCTTACTTCCTTAGAAAATGTTATTGTGGCATTTATCTCCCAATTGGATGAGATAGAACAACTGAACTCTATTGCACTATAGAATCCATGTGAGTAAAGGTTTAAAAACGTCTATTTTTAAAAAGAATGTAATATGACCATTGAGTAGGTCTTATTTCTGCAGAGCCATCTTTCAGATTCAAACTCAGGGCACAGTTTAAGGACTTGGTCCTTTTTGTGTCACACTCAGCATTGATTCCACAGATGTTCCTGGGTACTGGTGAAGTGCCAGTCCTGGGGTAAGGGCCAGGACTCAGGTGGGGAAGCAGGGCCCCTTCTGTGGTGCTCAGTGCTTGAAGTGGGTGTTTAGATGGCCTCAAGGAGACCTGCAGGAGGCGGGAGTGGAGAGGAAGCAGACCTCTCTGGTGTTGATATCTGAGCTGGGTGTTGAGGGACATCTAGGAGTTTGTCAAAGAAAGAGAAAGGGAAGGCTTGTTTGAGGTTCAGGGGCCATGTGTGGAGGAACTTCTAAGCCATTAAGGGACCCAAGTGGACAGGGCAGGGTGAGGAGGGCCCCAGGATGGTGACCTCGGTTTGTGAAGGAGTTGGGACATGCTGAGAAGACCCATCTGGACCACGGCATCTGACAACGTAGGGTCTATTAGCAGTGGACGAATGGATTCCTGAAGCCATGCCTCCCCAGACCTCACCCACCCCTGCAGCTCAGGCCCAAAACTTGGGGTCCCCTACTATTTTCCCACTAGTACAGGCCCTCAGGAACACTGCCCTGGGAAGTCTAGGGAGTGGGCTTAAGGCCAGGCTAGGCAGGCCTCCTGTGGACATGTTCTGTGCCATCTCACAACGAGGCCCTAGAAAAGGATTCCCACCAGCACAAGTGACCAAGCGTGAGGGGTGCTGCTAGAGGAGGGTGTCGGGTGAAGACGAGCCCTTGCTGGTGACCCTCCTCGTCTGCTTTTGTCCACTAGTCTGAGAAAAGCCAAGATTTTGCTGAGGTACAGACAGCAAATCATGGAAATGGGTGTCTCCTCAGAGCTTCTCCCAGGAGGCCACCAGATAGTGTCTCTGCTGCCAAGGCAGGAATAACTAGGAGCAGGGAACCTGAGAAAGTGTGGCTCTCTGGAGCCCCCCACCCATAGGGCTGCCTGGGCTGGAGGGCCCTGGCCCCACTGGGGTTGTTTTCCACTGAGGAGCAAGCAAAAATGGAATGAGGGCCCACGAACTATGCCAGCTCATGACGGTGCAGGCCCTGCAGGGCTAGGGTCAATGGCAGGAAAAGACCTACAGGACACAGGAGCCATGCCTAGGACCTGGCATCCGGGCACCTGCCATGGTAGGTGCAGGTCTCAGGAAGGGACTCTGGGCCCAAGCTTTGGGCACCAGATCCCCTGGTTCAGTTACCACAAAGGCCCCCATAAACCCACATCTCTCTCATCCCTTCCAGGTATGTGGGCCTCTCCTGTCCTTAACCCCACCCATTTTCCTCCCCCACCCTGAGAGCCTAGGGCACAGAGACACTATGCGCTTGTCTTCCACTGGACCTCCCTGGCTGCCTCCTGCCTGCCTGCATCCATCCACACAGCTACAGGTGCTGTCCTCCCAGTTACAGGATGGGCACAGCCCACCCTTGAGCTGTAGGCAGGGTGCTTCCTTTTGCTTCCTGCTCCACAAGTGGCCCTGTCCCTCTCCTAAGGATCATGTCTGAAAGAACCCCCAGTATGAGTGATTCTCCTGTTCATAGTTGGTGAGGCAGACCCCACCCAAGGGACAAAACTCAAACCCCTCAGTGCCCAGCCAGTGCCTGTCCTTATCCCTGCTCTGTGTTCTCCAGGTAGATGGCAGGTCCACCCCACTGTACCCCCACAAGGACCGCAGTTATGCTACGGAGTTTTAAAGAGTGTCCCGTTGTGGGTGACTGTGGTGAAGACAGGGCCAGGACTGATGATCTGCTGAGCTCCCTCTCTTCTGGGTCTGCCTGGAGCCTCCATGGTTCCTAATGGTGCCTGGAGGGAAAACCACAGGTTCCAACCCCAAAAGCACTCTCAAGAAAGTGGGCCCGGCAAGCTAGACATTCCCCCTCATGGCCATGTGACAGCTGCTCAGATCTGCCTGTGTCACCAAGACTGGTCTGGGCCTGAGACTAAGGACAAGCCCTGACCCATCCCTACCAAGCTGGGTGCCTGAGCTACTCAGACCCTCCCAAGGAGACTCCAAGGCTAGGGTGTCACTCAGTATGGAACACTTGCCTGGCATGTGAAAGATCCTGGGTTTGATCCCAAGGAGGAAGAAAAAATCCCACAACAGCAACAAAAAAACCCAAGCAAGGACAGGACACAGAATCCAGCTCCGAACCCGTCACAGAAGGGGGAGCAAAGAACAGGCCCTCACTGGTCTTTCTGCTCACTCCTGTAGCAAGGGGACTTACTAGAAGTGACCTGAGTTCCAAAGAAAACGAGAGGACCCTGGTAGGCAAAGGGGGGTTGCCTTCTCCCGCTGCGCAGCCTTTGAGTGAGCAGAGTTTTCCTGCTCCCTGGAGAGGGTGAGGTGGGACCAGCTCCATGAAGGTCTCAGGGAGGCAGGCTGTGGAGGACAGGAGGACCAGCAGAGGGAACAGGGTGGCCTCCCACAAATGTTTTGTCTTGCCTGGGGCTACACCTGACTGGAATGACATCCCTGTGTCTGCGGAGTGCATGTTTAACAATTTAATCTGGCACCCCATCCAGAGTGCCACTGTGTCTCCCTGTTCCTCCATCATCAGGGCTACACCCGCCCACAGGAATTCACATGGAGGCTGCCCTGCGGTCTCCAGACACAGGGAAGGTAACCTGGCACCTGTCATGACAAGCCAGGGTGGGTCAGCATCCTGCTGGTACC